TTATTGTGAATTCATATCCTTCAGTTCTAGAAAATTCCCAGCCATTTTAAATGATTGCTTTTCCTTCATTTTCTCAACTCTGTTGTTCTGGGATACCCAAATACTGAGTTTAGACCTCAGTTTTTCTTCAGGTTCTCTTTCTCTCTTTTTTCTTTTTGGTAAAATATACATAACAGCCCTGAGTAGTGTGGCTCAGTGGGTTAGGCATTGTCCTGCAGAGCCAAAGGTCACTGGTTCTATTCCAGGTAGGACACATGCCTCAGCTGTGGGTTACTTCCATGTCGGGGCATGAATGAGAGGCAACTGATTGATATTTCTCTCTCACATAGATGTTTCTCTCCCTTTCTTCCTCCCTTTTCCTCTCTCAAGAAAGAAATAAGCAAACAAACTATAAAATTTACCACTTTGGCCATTTTTAGGACAATTAAATGGCATTAAATATATTCACACTGTTTTGAGCATATTTCTACAGTCCATCTCCAGAACTTTTTTATCTTCCCAAACCAAAACTCTACTCATTAAGTATGTCATTATTTTCCCTTCCCCCAACTCCTGGCAACCATTATTCTTTATATCTGTAAGAATTTGATTTCTCTAAGTACCTCATATACAGTATTTGTCCTTTTGTGATTGGCCTCTTTCACTTAGCATAATGTCACTGAGATTCAATCATACAGTGTCAGAATTTCCTTCCTTTAAAAAATTTTTTAAGACTCCTAATATAAAATTTGCCATCTTAACCATTTTAAGTGTCAAGTGCAGAAGTATTAAATACATTCATGTTCTTGTGTAGCCAATCTCCAGAACTCTTTATCTTATAAAACTGAGACTTTATACCCAATTCTGAGCTGTTTCTACTCAACACTGTGACACCAAATTTGTTGAGGGGTGGGGATGAGATTTCCCCACACCAACTGATTCTCCAACTTCCCAGATAATAAGTTAGCCTAGGGCTCCTACGAACCCCACCTCCGATTCAGTAGTTTTGCTGGAATGGTGTAGTGAAGTCAGGAAGGGACTTGCTCTTTCACTTTTTATAAAGGATACATCTCAGAAACAGCCAAATGGAAGAGAGATGCACAGGGCGAGGTATGAGGCAGGGGGCACAGAGCTTTCATGCCCTCTCTGCGCACACCACCCTTCCCGCACCTCCACATGTCCACCTGGAAGCTCTCTGAACCTCATAGTCTAGGGTTTGGTGTTGATGTTTCACTTTGTTGGAATGATTGGTTATCATTGGCTATTAGTGACCAACTTCCCTACTTGGAGGTCAGGAGTGGGACTCAAAGTTCCAGCCCTCTGATCATGCCTTGGTCTTTCTGGCAGCCCTCCCGTCGCTACCCAGCGGCCACCAGTAATCTCATTGGCATAAAAAGGACATTCTTAGCACTCGGGGATTGTACAGAATTTAGGAGCCATGTGTCAGAAACCAGGAGCAAAGACCAGATGTATCTATCTTTCCTCCTTTTTTATCCTCACCTGAGGATATATTTATTGATTTTTTAGAGAGGAAGGGAGAAAGAGAAAAACATTGATGTGAGAGAAACTGGGTATCAAAACTGCAGCACAGTTTAGGGCACAGTTAGGTATGTGCCCTAACTGAAATTGAACCCACAACCTTTTGGTGTGTGGGACATCGCTCCAACCACTGAGCCAGCCAGCCAGGGCCCAAATGTGTATTTCTTATTGTATCACCCATTCAACAATAACTCCTAATTCGCCCCCCCCTCTCTTAGCTCATGGCAACCACCACTCTACAATACTTTCTGGATTTGTCTAGGTGCTGTCATGAATGGAATCTTACAGTATTTGCCTTTTTGTGACTGGCTTGTTTTATTTTGCATAGTATCTTTAAGAATCATCTGTGCTGTGCATGTGTCTGTCCTTCATTTTAAAGGTTGAACAAGTATTCCATTGTATGTGTATAAACATTTTGTTTATTCATCTGTTGTTGACCACTTCAGTGGTTTCTACCTCCTGGCTGTTGGGAATAATGCTGCTGTGAACGTGGATGTACAGATATCTGTTCAGATCTTTGTTTCCCAAGGGTTAAGAATGCTAGGCTCATGTTCAGTTCTCAGCTTGACCTTAGAACTGGTTGAGGCATTTGCCTTCAAGCTACCTCACCTTTTGTGGGTTTTCTTACTGATCACTGCTCCTCCTCACTCTAGGTGGTTCGATTTTAATTATTTATGGTCCTTGGAGATTCTCCTGTTCTACAGAGCCCAGCAGTGCTATAAAAATTGTTAGTTGTCACTTATCTAGGATCTAGTGTTACTTGGATAGGAGTGCTCTTCAAGATACCTATTCAACAGTACTTCCAGAAGTGCCTATTAAACTTTGAAACATATATGATATCTACATACAATGGAATACTATATAGTCATAAAAAGTGATGAAATATTGCTCTTTGGGACAACATGAATGGATCTTGAGAGAGTATCAAGCTAAGTGAAATAAGCTGGATGGAAAAAGACAAGAATTACATGGTTTTATTCACATGTGGGATATAAAACAGAAAGCAACAATCAAACTCATAGGTAACAACATTATGGAGGTTACCAGAGAGGAATGAGGTGGGAGAGAGAAGAAGAGGATACAGGGGTTCAAATATATTGTGACAGAAATAGACTAGATTCTGGGTGGTGAGCACACAATGCAATATACAGATGTTGTATTACAAAATTATACACCTGAAACCAACAGAATGTTATTAACCAATGTCACCCCATATAAGTTTTCATTAAAAAATATATGATACCATTTTTATGGCCCAAAAATAAAATTTAGGGAGATCATCATTATCGCCTTTCTGTGTAGTGATAGATCTGTGTTGTGTGCATGCATGTGGTTTTGGTGTATTTAACTTTCAAGTTATTTTGAGTGTTAAGTAATATTCAGGGGGTGAATGATGGGGAACAGCCTGAATCTCTTAACCCTCCTTGTTCACTCTTAGCTGTTAAAAATTATTAGTTAAAAACCTTTTAAATTAAGTATATCAAGAATAATGTTCCTTTAGTTGCTCAATATCTACCAGTTGTAACATACCTTTAATAATATATAATCTATTGAGTATAGGTGTAAAATTGTCCTGGATTTTTCCTCTGATTCTTTCTCTTGCCAAAGTTACTGAATTAAGGAAAACTCAAATAAAAGCACTGTGACATCCAGCACTTTTACCAAGAAATATGTGCCAATAAATCTCTAACCAATTATATCCTAAGAATCCTAAAACATCAATTTCAAAGAACCTATGCACCACAATGTTCATAGCAGCACAATTTACAATAGCCAAGAGTTGGAAGCAACCTACGTGCCTGTCAGTAAATGAATGGATCAAAAAATTGTGGTACATATACACAATGGAATTCTATGCAGCAGAGAGAAAGAAGGAGCTACTACCATTTGCAACAACATGGATGGAACTGGAAAGCATTATGCTGAGTGAAATAGGCCAGGTGTTGAAAGACAAATACCATATGATCTCACCTTTAACAGGAAGCTAAACAACAAAACAAACAAGCAAACAGAATAAAACAAAGACACTGAAATAGAGAACAAGGGGACAGTGACCAGAGGGGAGAGGGAAGGGAATTTAAGGGGGAAAAGGGGGAGGGATTTTGAGGAACAAATATGAAGGACACAGGGACGAGAACTAAGGGGGGTGGGAATGGGAGGCAGGTGGGGAGCATGGGGTGGGGGTGGTGGCTGGGAAGGGAGAAACAGAAAAAACTGTACTTGAAAAATAACTAAATAAAATTATTTTTAAAAAAATCTCTAACCAGAATGGTCTTCATGTCACATAGTTCTTCTGTAACTTTGCATGTTCAGATTCTCACAATGACTGCCATAGGACAGGAATGTTAGGGGTGAAAGTTAACTGATGTCATCAGTGAAGAACAAAAGTATACTGATCTGAGTTTGCAGTGGACTAAAGTTTTTTAAAAAAACAGCTTTCCCATGTCAGCCTGCATCTGCCTTAGTTGCAAGTAATACTCTAAATTAAATACTAAGGGCACTATTGAAAAGCATGGAAGGAAGGGGAAAATGTCGAAGAGCTGGGAGTGAGGATTTAGAGGGGAAGATGGGGATACGAAACTATCAATGAACAGATACACTGTAGCAAAGTTATTGATTCGTAATAACAGATTTTATTAATGTCTGAAGGGAAGGGAGATACACGTAAGATATGCTTATTACGAAGGGCTTTTGTGATATAAAATATATTCTACAAGGATCAGATTGGGTTCATGGACAGGAACAAATTCCTGTCAACTTACCTTAGAAGATACAAATTACCTTAGAAGATAATGCCTCTGCAGTTTAAAAATTGTAAACCCAACCCCCACCCCAAACTGCTATGTTCCTTTGAGTTATCTACATGTTATCAGAGGGAGGTATTGGGTAAAGCTGTGAGTTTTATTTCCTTCCTGATTACATTTCCTGGTAAGTTATTAATATTTTGAAAAGGGTTTGGAGAGAAGAAAAATGCTCCATGTTTGAATTAGTTGCAACATTTCTCTTTTGGGTGGGGGGGGTTGTAGATTAGAATGACATGTAAGATAACTATGTTAATTCTTTGTGCTTAGCAGTCTTTTTAGGATATTAAACTTACTTATTCTTAATTATTCATATAACTGCTTTTATGGCAGTAAAGTGTTTTGAAATTTTCGTGTGGCTTTATTTCCTTGACAGTTTCTTAAATAGCATACGAGATATGTCTTCTATTTAATTTTGAATTTTAATACAATTGCTAATTTTAGTATTATTAAATATTAGTGTTTTCAGAAGTTAGGCATAAAAGAATTATTATGAAAAATAAGAGATTACATCAAGTGAAGAATATACTATATACCTGGATTGTTAAAAGTTTTATTAATGAAATGAAGCTGTATTTGAAATGCATAATTATACAGCCACATGTAACTAAATTATTTTTGTTAGATTATTAAAGAAAGAAGTACAGTGCAAATGAACTTCTCTTGGTTTTTCTTTTCTAGCAAAGTTTAAGAGCTTGCATTGACCAAGTAAAAAAGTATCCAGAATTCTATACTCTCCATGAAGTCACCAGCTTAATGGGATTCTTCCCATTCAGAATAGAGATGGGATTAAAACTAGAAAAAACTCTTCTCGCATTGGTAAGGTTTACCGTATAAACGTGTATACTTATTTCTGTTTGAAACATCATCTCTATTTCATGTAGATAACATTTGTACAATAATGAGATACTACCACTTTTAAAATATACAGCATAAATGTGTCCGTTTTTAAATGGATTCCAGTACTTGCTGTTTTTAAAAATGTCACTACGCACTTTATTTCTTGATTTTCTTAGTGCCCATCTTAATGTTACTGAATATAAGCAAGAAGTCATTTTTTTAAGGGATTTTATGCACAATCATGGAAGTGTGGTGAAGAGGATAGTTTAGAGTTCCTATGATCAATTGTACTTCACAATATGAGGTAAAAGTTTAAAGCAGCAGGAAAAATTCTATGGCACTCTTGTCTTTGGTGCTTTATATATATATATATATATATATATATATATATATATATAGTGGTTGTCAAGCAAAAACATGAAAATCTTGACTTAAGAAGACTCTAAATTTGACATTTTCATTTACTAGAATGAAGAATTTTAACTTCAAAGTCTCTTACAATGAAAGGATACTTAGAAAAAATGCACCAAGATTTTTGCAATAAATACTTGGTTTTTAATTTAGGGTAGCGTGAAATATGTGAAAACAGTATTTCCGTCAATGCCTGCAAAGTTACAGCTCTCAAAAGATAACACATCTGCCATTGAGACACCAGAACAAACAGCTGCAGCTATGCATTATGTAAGTTCGAAGGTGGTTTGGGATCTTTAAGTAACCTTCTGTACCTAATAAAGTACATAGAATCTGATTATTCTGAAGTTCTCTTCCTAAATTTCTTCAGTTCTTTTTATTACTTCATTAAAGAAATTTCCAAAGGGTTGGGGGTGGGAGGGGGTAAGTGGACTAAATGGTAATGGAAAAAATACAATAAAAAGTTAATTTTAAAAAATTTCCAATAAGCATAATGAAGTAACAAGTCTTATGTTGTTTTCCAGGATATTAGTAAAGATCCAAATGCAGAGAAGCTTGTTTCCAGATATCACCCTCAGATAGCTCTAACTAGTCAATCATTATTTGCCTTATTAAATAATCATGGACCAGACTACAAGGAACAGTGGGAAATTCCAGTGACTGTTCAAGTAATACCTGTTGCAGGTTTGTGATTTGCTATGTCAGGTAATGCTCTTAGTAGAGGAGTTGTGATGGTTCTATTTCAGCAGTCTAATTATAGTCTGTTATCAAATACAAAAATACAAGTTTTGATTTAAGTAGGATGTAAGTTTGACATTTACATTCAATAGAACTTTTTAAATAGATAGTGCTACCATAGAATTGACACTCAGAGATAAATGAGTTATTAAATCTACAGAACCTGTATTTGTGTTAGGACTAAGAGGTATTAGAGAAATAATTAGGGTTTAGTGTGACCAAAAATACATGATATGATCAGGTTCTTTATCTTTCAATGAAATTAAAAGAATACAATACTTTATTAGGCAGCCTCAAATCAGTGAGTTTCCAGGACTTACTTACTTGTCTGTTCTTGGAATTCAGAATTAAAATAGGTCTATACTTATGAGCATAAGTTAGTCAGTCTATTGAAAGTAAAATTATATTTGCATGTAAATTCCTCTGTACAAAAGATTATTCCTCCCTGGCTGGTGTAGCTCAGTAGATTGAGTGCGGGTTGTGAACCAAAGGGTCACTGTTTCGATTCCCAGTCAGGGCACGTGCCTGGGTTGTGGGCCAGGCCCCCCATGGGGGCCACATGAGAGGCAACCACACACTGATGTTTCTCTCCCTCTCTTTCGCCTTCCCTTTCTCCCTCCCTTCCCCTCTTTCTAAAAATAAATAAATAAAACCTTAAAAAAAGATTATTCCCTTCTGTTTTGGTTCATATTTAATAATTTTTTCTTCCAGAAGTACTATTATTATTATATGTAACAACATAATTCTAATAAATGAGGACTGTGTCTAATGAAACAAAACTACAAATTAGAATTAAATATAATGTATTCTCTGTAGTGAAAATTTTATCACCTTTTGAAAGCATAACCCTATAAGAACTGAGTATTAATGATGGTGAAAGTATAACAATAAAAGCAGAAATCATTTTTTTAAGTTGTTAGAAAACATTTTTCTTGCCAGTTTTATTCTCTGGTCCTCAGATCTGTAAGGGACTTGAGAGATTTTCTAGTTCAAGGTTGGCAAATATATGGGACTTGTGCTCACACTTTCCTATCCTGCGTCTCTTTGTTTAGTGATCCTTCTGTCATACATCCTGGTTTTTTCCTTAAATTAACTACTAGAAACTGACCACCCTCTTCTGTTTCTGTTTTAAGGTTCAAAACCAGTTAAAGTAATTTATATTAATTCACCACTTCCCCAAAAGAAACTGACAATGAGAGAGAGAAATCAAATCTTCCATGAAGTTCCATTAAAATTCATGATGTCCAAAAATACATCTGTTCCAGTCTCCGCAGTATTTATGGACAAACCAGAAGACTATCTACCTGAAATGGATGTATGTAATAGTTTTTATTTCTTAAGGGAATGTATTTATTTATTCTGTTGAAGCCTAAAGTTTTATTATAGGTCTCTAAATCTGTAGCTAAAAATTTGAAACTGAAAACTGAACCCCAGGTCAAGCTAGTCTTTTGGCAAGTAACTTAACTTCCCTCAGCCTGTTTTTTTTCCTTTTTTTTTTTTAAGAAAAAGGTGATTGTTTCACCTACTTCACAAGATTGTTGTAAGCATTAAGTTTAACATTACAATTAAAATGCTGAGCACAGTCTTTAGTATACATGTACTAAAAACTCAGTCAATAACAGTGGTAATTGTGGTAAAGTTGTATTTAATTATTCTTATTTACATTTCAGGGTTGTTTTTTTTTAAGTATGAAAAGGAACAGATGAATTTGATTGGTACAGAAAGTATTTGGCCAGATTGTTGGCCACGTCGTTAATGTTTTCAGTATACTTGGTAGCTGTGTGACCCTAAGCCACCTACATAACCTCTGTGCCTACTATGCTGATCTGTAAAATGGGTATCATGATATTATTTAACTCATGGGAATATTTGGAATTAGATGAGTTGATACATGTAGAGCATTTAGAACAATGTGTGGCAGTCCATAAATAGTAGCTTTTATTATTTTGTATATTTTTTAATCTTTTTTCATGATTATTAAACTCAGACATTTTGTTTATACCAAACATTCTTCCATTTGTTGTACAACTGTTTATTGACAATACTGTTCTATACTGCAATGAGGATACAGCAGTGAATAAAAATAGTCTCCTTTCTTATGGAGCTTTCATCGGTGGTGGAGGGCACAGATAATTAACAAAATAGTAGAAAAAAGCAGATGGTAATGAATGCTATGCAGAAAAATAGAGCAGGTTGAGGAACGGAGTTAGAAGTGGGAATATTTGTAGAGAGTCAAGGTCGAGAAGGCTTTTCCGAGGACAGGAAACATTTTTATAACGTATGTGTTCATAGAACACTTCCAACTTTTCTTACATTTTTTTGTTTCGCATTTTGAAATCTACCTAAAACTTACATTAGTGCGAGGTAAATGTCAGGAAGTAACAAGTATTGTAAAGAAACATGAAGTAGGTTAACAAGGATGAAAACTGATAGAGTATCTCCTTTCATTAATGACAGACCACATTATTTGGATCTTTTCATTACTGCCAATAACTAAAGCTGAACAAAATTTAAAAATTCTTTCTTGAAGTCATCAAAGAGCTAAGAAGGTAGTGAGGAATTACAGGGCGGAGATATCAGAGAAGACCAGAACCCAGGGAGGTAATGCTGTCACTTAGTGGGGTTTTTCTTATTTTAATGTTTTATTTTTGCCCTGGATGGTATTGGTCAGTTCTGAAGAGGCCACAGAAGATGGACTGTGGTTTTGACAGCATGACAAGACAAGGGAGGCAAAAATCACAGTTCAGTTTTTCATTAAAAGCTTGGACCCTGCAGGGCAACACCCCAAAAGTAGGGGTGAACCAGAAGCAAGTCAGCTTTCTCAGAGGTTGTAGCTTGAATTTTCAAGCCTTGAACTTGGATTCAGATGCCTTTAGATTACTAGTGTCTCTAGACATGTAGCAAAAGCAAATGAAAATAATTCCAAGAGGAACATCACATCATTCTGAGCCTCAAATTGTTTCTGCAAATTACTTTTTAAAATACAGGATAATTTCTTAACTCTCTTTTTAATCCTCACCTGAGGACATTTTTTATTGACTTGAGAGAGAAAAGATAGGGAAAAAGAGAAAACATCATTCAGTTGCCTCCTGTACATGCCCCACCCAGGGATTGAACCTGCAACCCAGGCATGTGCCCTAATCAGGCATCGAACCCTCAAACTTTTGATGTAAGGGATGATGCTCCAACCAACCGAGCCACCCAGCCAGGGCTAAAATATAGCATATTTTAAAATAAGTTCTTAAAATACAAGAACAAAAGATATTTCTAGATAACTAGAAATAGGAGGAGGAGACCATGCAGTTACTATGAGCCAGAGCCATCAGGAACAATGACCAAAGAAACAAGCTCACCTGAATGGCTCTTAGAATTATCCATCAAAAGCTGTTAGCCAACTCTGTTGAGTTGTACAGTACTCAAGGATATTAATGCTGAACATTTCAGTGAGGAACCAGAAACTTAAAAGCCAATCACATTTGAAAAAGACCTAAGTAGAAATTTTAAAACTGGAAATATAATAAGTACAATTAAGGGGGAAAATGGAGATAACTGTACTTGAACAACAATAAAAAAATAAAAATTCTGTAAATGGGTCCTTAAAGCACTTTAGATAATGCTGAAAAGAGAAGCTGTAAACTGGAAGATGTGTCTGAAAAGACTGTCTACAATGTGACACAGGCAACGAAGAGGTGAAAATGGCCACCGTGTGTAGCTGCACCAGAAAGGTGATGTGAGAGAGACATTGACAGGGACCACGTCAGTAGTTGGAGACAGAGGGAAAAGTCTTAAAAGCCATCAGAGAAATAAAAGGGCTGAGAATGAGACAGGCAAATAACTTCTCAACAACCACAGAAGCCAGAAGACATTGGAATGATATATTGTGCTAAGAAGAAAATCTATTTACTAAAATCTTCTGATCGTATTAAACAAGATCTTTTTCATTAAAAATTGAGTTTAGTACCAGTAGACCCCCCTCTAATGGATATTTTTGAGGTGCAAGGAAAATAATCCCAGATGGAAGGAGGAATGAAGAAAAACAAAAGTGAAAATAATGTGTATAGGCTCTAGTTTTAAGTGATTGCAGGGGCACTCAAGAAGTTACGGGATTTCTAAAGTCAGCTGGACACTAAGAACTCCAGAAACTAACCAGCCAAAGTCCTGTCCAAGACAGAAGCCTTCACTCAGGAAAAATTAGTGGTAGTAGAGTCCACATTGACCAGAACAAGGACATTAAAGGTAAAGAAAAGAAGTTTTCAGATAACTATAGGAGAGAGGAATAGAGGAGCCAGATGTGAGAATATACTCAAGATTCACACACGCACACACGAACCTACATGCATGCATACTTTGCGGTAACAGCGAAGCATGAGCGTGGAGCCGTGAAGCTGAGAAAGCTGTCCTGCCACATCCCCCCACACAGTGGTTCTCCATAGGAGCAGGAAAGCCTGTCTCATTGAGACATGAAGAACACGAGAGGATTGTTGATGGAAGTTTTTACAACGATATTAGAGGAAAAAGAAGCCATTGCTGTAACATTTCTATAATCAAGATGTACCCACAAAATGTGAAAACTGCTCATTCTAGAAATCTCAGTTCTAGAAATGTAGCTCAGAAGTACACCAGGAAAAGAACAAAATGTATGCACAAGTTATTGCAGTACTATTTGCAGTAGTAAAAGATTGTAAACAATTCCCATGTCCCTTAATGGGGTATTTATTAAATAAAGTGTACATTCTCAGTAGCATAATAAGCACCCGTTAAAAAGAACGAGGAAACTCTAGATGTGCAGCTATACAGTGATCTCCAAGATATATTGTTAAGTGAAAAAGGCAAGGAAGAGAACATTTCATGTAATAGGCTACTTTTTATTCAAGGAAGAAATAGGATGGAGCAAAAGTAGGTTTACAGCTGTGAGTATGTGAAACACTTTATTCTTGTATTACTACTTATTGTGTTATTTTCCATATGAACAACTGTAAACCTTTTGTCCCACCCTGTATACACACACACATATTTGCATATATTTTAAAAGAAAATTCATACAATGAAGAATAAATTTAAAACTAATGAAATGGTTAATTGTGGGGGGATGGAACAAAGTAGAGGAGGCAGGATTATCAACTGGATTTTTCTGAATATCTTTTGTTTTATAGTTTTAACTTTAAGCCATATAAATATTTTACATGACTATAAAATAAACTTTAAAATATTAAAAAAAACAATCAAAGCTGAAGTGAAACAAATGAATCCACTGTATACCAAGTTAGTAGTTTAACCAGAGAAGAATTATTTTAAGTGATTAGAAACTTGGTAATTTGACCGTACACCCCTAGAGAGTTATATCCTAAGTTCAGAAAGAACTGCTAAAAAATCTTAAACTGCATTTTGCTATTTTTGTTTTTAATACATTAGTATGATAAAGCAAATAAATTTATATTAAGCACTAAGAATTTCAACGTAAGAGATAAAAATGCCAATCAAAGAAGTTAAGTAAATACCCTATAATAATACTGGAATCATATCAAAAGACATCAGAGCCACCTCTCCCATTGGCCAGAGAGGTGTCAGTTTGACAGTGACAAAGGATGACTGCAATGGATTGAAATGTATGGAATATGTTAAAATCCATGAATTTATAATGATATTTTACATAAAAGTGCTAGTCACCGTCAGAGAATGCTTGTACGAGAAGTCATTATTCTGACAACTAATTTTAAAAAAATCAAGTATCTTGTCTTCCCTTTCCAGTACAAACTATATTTCAGGGTAATGAGAGAATATGACTGTCATCATTTTGTAGCTTCTAATGAAATAGTGAATCTCGGCAATGATCCTCATCAATAGCTGCTAAAACCATTAGGAGATCAATGAGGAATTTTATAATGGATAGATTAAGTTGATGAAACCTGATGAACCAACAAATCAATTGTAACATCACAAGAAGAGAGAAAACCAGACATCATTAGCCTCCTGATAGAAGTGGGAGCACAAAGTGCCACACATAATGGATTCAGGTTGAGAAAAATGGTACCTGAACCTGATCAAGTTACTAGATCATTTAACAGGAAATTCCAAGGATATAAGACTGTGTTAAATGACATTACAGGGATGCACAAGTTAAAATCCAAAATGCAGAAATTTTTACAGGATAACTAATCTGGTTTCTTCTACAAATATCTGGCCGGTGAGGTGTTGGCTGAGTATGAGGAAAGTCATTTGACAAATTAAAGAGAATTGAGAGATGTATCAACCAGTTGGATACTGTTGCAATAAACAATTGTGAAAATACATCACACTGGGAAATTTTAACACTTGATCTGTTATTTTATAACATTAGGGAATTATTAACTTTTTCTGATATAATTAATGATATATTTTGTAGAAGAATCCTTTTATAGCTACACATTATTTGTGGATACATACTGTTTACAGATAAATGAAATTTTTAATTTAAATTCCATTGTGAGAATGGTTTCTCAGTTCATTAAATTTTGGTTTTATATTTATGAAATTTCTTTATTTTAGTATGATTATGTTATTTTCTTCTTGCAAATGCTATGAATAATACTTTTGATTTTTAATGTCTACTATTCTAATTTTTGCTTTTAAATATCATGTTTGTTACTATCATTTTAATCCATTTAGTAATTGGAGCATTTTTTATTTCCGAGGGCTTGGATATTTTGTTTGTTTACATTTTTCTTAATGATGCCTAATTTTACTTACTTTTAAACAGAGAGTAAGATCTCAGCAAATTGTGTTTTGTGCTGTATTGATGTTTTTTTTATATTAATTTATAGTCCATCTTTGGAAATGCCCCTTGGATTCTTGGGAGGGAAAAGGTATATCTTTGTAGTCTGTATGTATGTTTTCAATCATTTATATATATTTCAACCACTTAATCTCATTCCTACTTTTTGTTTCTATTTTACATGTTCAAGACAGTGTATCGTTGACCAAGTACAATAGTTGTTCTTTCAAATTTTCCTCTTATTTTTAAGTTTTGACTACCTATTTTGACGTTTTTGGCATGTCTCAATTCATGACCAAACCGTATCCATTCATCATGGCCTTCTTTTTTCAACATAGGACTCCTTTCCCTGTCTAATTCATTTTGCACCTAATTCTGCTTTGTCTAACACTTAATGTTGCCATTCTGTCTCAATTTCTTGATATTATGCCTTGTGGTTTTGTTTTTTAATATCTTTGTGAAAGAATGTCTTATGTAAAATAGCATAGAGCTTAATTTTGTTTTACCAAACCAGTCATCTTTTCACTTTAGTAAAAGGTGCCATTTACTGAGAAGCTACTACATGCCAGAGACTTTATCAAGCAACTTTCTATATACTGTTCTCACTTAATCCTCAGAGCAAATCCAAGAAGATGACCCTATTATCACTATTTTAGTGCTGAATAAGTTAAGGTTCAGAGAGGTTAATAAACTTAACACAGGTTGATCTTACACACTACTTAATTGCTGCCAGGCGATTTCTTTCTCAAATCCTAAGCTTCGAAGCTTTGGTGTACATAGCGAAGTACACCAAACCAGATTTCCATGGTATGTGTTTAAAGTGCTATGCCAGACTGGGGAGAGATCTGCTGCAGCTCGGGTGAGAGGACAGTTTATTCCTGAATAAATTAAAGCTCTTCCATTATCATAATAGTGCATGGAAAACTGCTTCAATGGCTTTGTGTCCTAGGATACAATAAAATCACTTCCCGTCCATTTCTCCTCCTTTTACTGAGATTTGTTTTCCCTGAGTAGATGTAGAAAGTCACTGATTAGTGCAACAGACGCAGAGGCTGGTGACACTTCACAGTGGCAAAGAGGCTTTTCTTTTGTCAGCTAAGGCCAGGTGTCTCTGCAAAAGTGTGTGCAATGGGTGTGAATGAAAATCTGCTTCCTTCCTCTTTTCTTTGTGGTCCTATTTTTTGATTAGTGGAAATTCCTCATGGGCTGTGATAGTTCACAAGTATTCCCATTTCCTGTGTTATTACAGCTTGGCAAATTTGTGTTTCATCAACGTTACAGCGGGAATGTAAGGTTAAATAAGTTAGTTGCTAGTAGTTTATTGCCATCTTAAGCAAGAACCTTTCAGAGCCATTAGACTTCTGCTTTTAAAGAGCATGAACTGTGTATGTGAGGAGCAGGGGCGTTAAGAGATCGATGAAGTGTGGCCTGGAATTTTTGCTAATAGTTTACCAATTACTTTTTTAAGATGTCTAATGAAGTTAATGAGTGCCGAAAAATTGAGAGCCTTGAAAATTTGGATCTGGATTTTGATGATGACGTCACAGAACTTGAAACTTTTGGAGTAACCACCACCAAACCATCAAAGTCACCAAGTCCAGCAAGCACTTCCACGGTACCCAACACGAAAAATGCTACTACAGCCCCCAGTGCAGCGGCTGCTCCCGTGGCACCAGCTGCACCAGCTGCACCAGCTGCACCAGCAGACATTTCTGCTCACTCTAGAAGTTTATCTCAGATTCTAATGGAACAGTTGCAAAAGGAGAAACAGCTGGTGACTGGTGTGGACGGTGGCCCTGAAGAGTGTAAAAATAAAGATGATCGAGGATTTGTACCATGTGGTGAGAAGGCATCAGGAAATTCTGACAAACCTCTGATGCAAGATGGTGACTCGAAAACATCTGACGCCGTACAGTTAGGAAGCTCTGCAGAAAATGAAACCTCTGATAAAAATAGCATGGCTACTGATACTATGTATGCTGGTGAAAGACTAGAGAACACAGACAATTCAAAGGAAAAAACTGTTACATCAGAAGCAACAGAAATTGAAGATGCAGAGCTTTGCAGTAGTGATACAGATGAAGACTGTTTAATCATTGATACAGAGTGTCAAAAGAGTAGTAATGGAAAAGCAGGTAAAGTGGGTTCTAATTTAAGTTCTAAGCCGGCCAGCCCAAATTCTTCCTCAGGAAACCAGACTAATGCTACCTGCAGTTCTGAAGAGTCCTGTGTTCTAAAAAAACCTATCAAACGAGTATACAAAAAATTTGATCCAGTTGGGGAGATTTTAAAAATGCAGGATGAACTCTTAAAGCCAATTGCCAGAAAAATACCTGAATTGCCCTTAATGAATACAGAAAATTCTAAACAACCTCCTGTTTCCGAACAACCATCTGCTCCTTCAGATACCTCTAGTTGGCCAAAAACTGTGTGGCCTTCTGCATTTCAGAAGCCAAAAGGACGTAAGTAAATATTTATTTTAAAAGTTCATATTAACTGTTTTGCCTATTCCTTGTCCTTCGGGTTTTTTCCCCTCATTCCCTCACTTTCTCTTTGTTACAACTTGTTTTATAATCTTTACGTAGTCATTGATTAATCATTTTTTAAATCTGCCTCTCTAAATATATACCCATAGTTGTATGGATCTTGCAACCTGTGTTTATCCAACATGTACAGTGACTGCTAAGCTATAGGTGATGTCGTTCGTCAGACGGATGAAAGGGAAGTGCATCAAAAATAATCATAAATATTTATTACTCCAAAATGTATTTATTCTTGGTGTTTTGTACTTTTTCATTTTGTAAAATAGATACAAAGCAGCACTTCAGCTCTGCCTAGGTTAGTAATAACATTTTTTAAAACTCTTTTTCTTCTCACTTCATACATTGTCTCACTATTTTTTGTCTAGGGTTAGTTAAGATGTTAAAAGAAAGAACCTTAAAGCTTCAATTTCAGTTCTTGCTCCAGTTCCAGTAAAAGTAACCAAGTGGTAATAGTATGGTGGTCAAATGAGATGATGAAAGTTAGAGTTGATAGAAATTTAAAAGTGGTTTATTGAATTGTTTTATCTTGGATTATGCTAGATAAACAACTAATGTATTTTAAAATAAAAATGAGAAATATAATTCTTTTTAAAGGATTGCCATATGAACTTCAGGACTATGTTGAAGATACATCAGAATATGTAGCTCCTCAGGAAGGAAATTTGGTTTACAAATTATTTAGCCTGCAAGACCTCCTGCTGCTTGTACGATGCAGCGTCCAGAGGATAGAGACCAGACCACGTTCTAAAAAACGGAAGAAAATCAGAAGAGTAAGTTGTTTCTTGGGGAGGTAAGGTGTACTAGCATAAGTCGGTAATCAGCAACATTCAACATGGCTTTGCTACGAAACCTGATTTAAGTTGTTGATCGTTCTTCTAGTAGTGTTTCCAGGTTGAAATTTTAGTAAAATACTGAAAACATTCTTAATGGGGAAAAGTGCTCAGTTAAATATAGTAGTCATGAATGCTGATAATGTTCTTGCATGAAATAACATAAACTTTGTGGGAAATGACAACATGATAGATTTCACCTAGACTGGCACATATGTTCCTGCTTTCTCTTTGAATTTGGGTCCCATGGTGTCATACTAACCCCTTTCTCTCTTACTTCGGGGACCTTCTTGAGTCATTTTAGAAATTTTAATTGTGAAAAGTAGACTTTCACACACATTTGAAAAGTCTTCCCAGAATTGTTAGGAGACCAATGTCATTCTTTCTTTTTTCTCTTTTGTTTCTTCGGGGTTTGTTGTCAATATTTCCCTTAGTTAAAAGAGTTTTTGCCACAGTTTGCATTAATTGGCTCTTTCAGCAGTTTTATGCATTTGCTATTTGAAATTATCTTCCAGATTAGTTTGATTTGTGTGTGTGGTGGGGGGGGTGACCACTGAATTCTGATGAATAAGGAGTAGCTTCTATATTATAATTGATTATGTAAGAAATTATGAAGTCTCTAATTTTTCTTGAGGATTTTTTCTTTTCTGTACATCTGTCATAGTATATATTTTTGAAGTATTAATGTCTAACCTGCCACCCAGTAAGGATCCTCAGTCACCACTTTATAAAATTCCTAACTTATCATTTGATTTCCATCACTACTTCAGGCTTGAAATTTTAGAGACCCAGTAGTATTAAATTAAATGTACGGGGAAGTGTTTTTTGGTTTTTGGTTTTGGTTTTAAGAGAAAGTGAAGTGACGAAAACTGTCCATTTGATATCAGTCTCCTTGTTACAGAATAGACCCGGGGTTTCATGGTCCCATGGTCCCTGTGTCACTGTGGTTCCCTGCCTGCCTCCAGGAAATTGGAATTGTGGCTCTCAATGCCAGAGTTTGGTGAAAAGCAAAGAACTATTTATTCAGAAGTTATACAGGTTTAGAGTAACAGCAGAATGTCACCGTTAAACACTCAAAGTCCCTTAAAACACCCACAAACACACACAGTTCTTCCTTCCCCCCATTGCCCAGTCAGGGATACTGTCCATGGTTCTTCACAGTAATCTGCTTGCTAGCAGGCCTCCCTCTGTTCGCAGCACCAATCAGCTGTGTTGCCACTTATCTCAAGATCTTAATCTAAACCCCTGTGGTACCTTCTCAGCAAGAATCCAGCAGGAGTCCTTCCACTCCTTTCCTTCCTGCAGTGTCTCTCTTGCATTCTTTCAAACTGCTAAGAGAGCTCAACATGGCTGCTACACCTTACTTTCCTGCTTCCTAAGTCACGTGGTAAAGGGAGCCCCAAAACCACATGCTTAGACCCATGTATGGCTGCTGCACCTAAGTTTAAATCCCAGCATGAATCTTCCTCTGTAACCGGATTTCTGAGTCCTCCCACAATTGGCTACACCTGCCAGCATTCCCGTGTTTTTCCAGCCTTTCTTGGCTGCCATAGGTAGTCCAGGCAGGCATGAGCCTGTGGCATCGAGCCAAGCATGTCCAAGCTCTCACACAAACACTGGGAGGGGAGCTGCCTCCCAGTTACAGCTGGGGTTAAAGTCACTCCCATCTCCCTGGTTCAAAGCATGTCCACAGCTACTTAACATATCTGTGAAGCTACACAGCTGTTATAGATATGTAAAAGAACCATTTTTGCATGTCAGCAATGAAGCTGATCAACTGTTGCTATGCAAAATTACTCTCAGTGGCCCTGCTCCATGTGTCCCATCCCCTAGTGCAGACTTGTGGGGTGAGGATATCCCATATTTTTATATTTTCTGGGCACCCTGAGTACTGGACCCCATTGAAAACCCCTCTTTGGAGAGGGCCCTGGCTGCACCCCCATTACATCTGCCTAGATAAATACCAATATTCTCTGTATTAAATGATTTTACTTTATTTCTTAATTTTTCCTGTTTCATCTATTTTAACTCTGATCAATTTAATGGCCATAGCATAAACATCTCAAATACATAGAGTATCAGTGCTATGGATTATCTTTTCAAGGTGTTATTTTTATTTAGTTAGTTATTTTTTAAGTCCTCACCTGAGGATGTATTTAGTGATTTGAGAGAGAGAAAGAGAAACATTAATGTGAGATAGAAACGTGGATTGGTTGCCTCCCATACATATCCCTTCCCGGGATCGGACTTGCAACCTAGGTTTGTGCCCTGAGCAGAGATCGAACCTGCAGCCTTTTTGGTGTATGGGGCGATGCTCCAACCAGCTGAGCCACCAGGCCAGGGCTCACAGTTTTATGTCTTTAATTCTTACTTACTATCTGATTTATTTGGGGAATAACCTTATTTCTTTCACTACTGTGTGAACCCATACCACTTTGCATTGATCTGCCAGCTTATAGCACTCAGAAATTATTGACGGCCAGGGTCGCTTAAGTAAGAATTGCCTAGGGATGTTTTGACTACTTACTTAATTCCTGAATTCCTATTAAAGACACTGTTATTCACTTGACTGAAGTGACATTTGCAAATGTCAGAACAGAACCTTATTGGAGAAAATTCACTCTACATCAAAATATACTCAAACAGTCCAGCCCCAAAGAATATCTGAATAGCCTTATATTTCTGATTGCGTCAAACCCAGAATAAAATTTAAAATTTTTCAGTGAATAGTTATTATATTGTACCTATCATTATATGTAATAAGGTTTAGTTTTTACCAACTTTAGTACACATGGTTTAAATTCCTTAGTATAATGTGTTTCCTTTGGAATCATATCCTGTTTATCTCTGTTTCTCCCAAATGTTTTATACCATAGAAACTCAATAAATAGATCTTGAATAAATGAAAAAAATTGAGGGGTGAGGAAGGAGGGTGCTCTTAGAGAAGGGAACTTAGGGAAATTGAGGCACTAGTTTGAGAAATTTTAAAGTGGTACTATTTATATTTAAACTGTAATTAGGTTAGAATCCATCCTCATCAATATTTCCTGCTTAAAAATCAACTTGTTCAGAGAAAGGTTTAAAATACGTTTAAAAGTCTCTCCAACCTCTGATGTACAAAAACCTTGTCTTTTTCAGGTCTTCAATTTTCTGTTATCATGGTTGAAATTTTAGTTTCCAATATAATTTATCTGTCTTCATCAAATTGCTGCTTAATAAGAGCTACACATCAGAGAACTTGTAACAGCAGCCAGTCTCAAATGATGGAGTGAAATAAAGAGAGCTAATTTGGACCAGGGTGAAGCTAAAACTTAGTGAAGGCAACACATAGTTATGAAATGCACACCAAGTAACTTGGAATGATTTGATATTATGTGTTATTATACATCTCGGTTAACCAGATCTCCTAAGAAATGTATTATAAAATGATTCTAAATTTTATTTTTTATAGAATTTATTGGGGTGACATTAATAAATAAAATTTTATAGGTTTCAGGTATACACTTCTATAATATATCATGGAGCCAATTATTTTGTAATTATATTATATTGGTATTCCAGGGTGAGAAAAAGGATAATGAAGGTGCTTGAATATTAGGAAAGAATAGAATTTACCCAATGGGATCAATGCCAGAAAATAGCTATGAAATACCTATTTAGGAATGTATGTAAAAGTTTACAAGGTTTGTGTGAAAAATTGAAAGACAGAACCAAAAAAGAAGAAAAGTTTTCACTTAGAAAGAATAGGAATACCTATCAAGGGAAAAAGGAAATACTGGGTTTAATTTTTATAGTTAGAAAGTTGTTATTGCATTTAAACTCTCACTTTAATTTTGGAACACTGAGGTAAAATATTCAGACCTTCTTTCCCTAGGCTTCCTGGAGATGGCAGTAGAATACATACAGAAATTAAAACCAGATTCAGGAGTTAGTTTTACAAATATGGCAGTATTATCAAAAAAGTTCTCCAAAGTATTTTTTTTTGAGAAATAGTACAGTAATATCTTTTATTTTAAAAAAATTCTTAACTCTGTTATCTATTTCTGATTCAAAAGGGGGAATCTTCTCCATCAATTGTTCCTTTCCCAACCCTGCTGTAAACGGGCTATGTGTCCTTGAGAAAATTTCTTAACCCTCTGAGCTCTCATTTCTTTATCTCTAGCTACTATTTTCAATTATAAGTAACTTTAAATGCAGATTGCCAGTTGCTGAAGAATTATTATACAATAAAATGCTTTAGCAATAAAATCCTAATCATTATATATATATTTTTTTTTAATGTAAAATATATTTTTTCTTTCTTTTTTTTAATCAAGGGGTCTTAGTACTGAAAGTTTGGCCTCTGGAACAACTTGTTAAAAAATGCAAAACCTTGGTCTTCACCTCAGACTCCATATTTTAGCTTGATCACATTCCTATGCACATAGGAATTTAAGAAACACTACTTTAGAGTTTTAAAACACTCAAAAGTAATCATGCGAACCAAACCTTCTGTTAGCAGAAGTTGTACTACAGTTGAATTGTTCTTACCACCACCATTGTGCCAAGCCCTTATTTGCCACTTTGTGAAAATTAGGAGTTCTGAAACATTTATGAAATACTTTCAAGTATATAATTAACGACAGCTTAGTGCAAGTTCAAAAATATTGTACTAAGTAGCCACATCACTCTAAGTTCCATGAATCATGTGTTTCTCCTTCTGTAGCTGCGACTAGAGACACTGCTGTTAAGAGAAGAATTGTCTCTGGCAGAAACGAGGCGACATGACCAACGTTATGTTATTTCACGGGCATTTGTTTCCTTACATACCCTCCTTCAGACCAGTAATGGGTACAGTGGTTTTACTTAACCTATTTAGTGTCCTGAGCAGTACACTCTAAATGGATAATTTGCTGGGTACTGGGTGTCTACAATAAAGCTTTCATGTTAATAAAGCTAATGGCATTCACAGATGTTAATGTAGGTATTAATGCTCGTGCATTCATAGAATGAAAACAAGCTGCTCAGAGTATTCGAGCCTTGATAATGTGAATTCGACTAATGCTTTAAAGGGGCAAAAACCAAATCAGTTTTTATCCTCTTGAGAATTAGTATATTTCACAGTCATTCCTTCCCAGAATCTTGTTTTTAACCTTCAGGCCATTATGTATGGTAGGCTCTGTTCCAAGGTTTCTGCTGTCAGTCAGATTCCCTGACAAAAGTCAAGTTTGTGCATGTGGGGTGGGGGCGTGTTGATTGGGATGGGCTTGGGCGGGGCCGTTCAGGATCTCTTATCCAGCCACATCTTGCCCCCATCTACCAAGATTCCCTCTGTCTTTCTGTCTGAATCCTACTGTATTTGAAAGGATCAAATAAAATTACTTGAAAGTGGAAAACTATATAGGCAGATATATGTGCTGTTAGTAGTAAATTAATGGAAGTTTGAAGAAGTATAACCTTGCATTGCAGCAATTTCCAGTTTATGTTCTACCAAAAGTGGAGTATCAAGCTTGCTATGGAGCCGAAGCTCTGACTGAAGGCGAAATCTGTCGCTTGTGGACTGAAAGCTTACTGCATTCCAACTGCGCGTTTTACGTTGGTAAGTCGTATCAGAGGCTTTGTTCTCCGTTTTCATTCTCTTGTAACTGCGTCCTGTATTTTGCTGTGTATAATGTGCATGCATGTTTTTGGCCCAGACTTTCAGGAAAAAAATCTTTAGTTTTAAATATTTTAATTCAGTTTTTTATTTATTTGCATTTAGAGACAAAACTGATCATCATATTCCAGGGTATTATTTTGCATACAGGTATCATTATTGTTTTCTAGAGTTATACTTTTAATGCATAAGCATAAATAAAAGAATTAAAAACATTTATAGAGATAATGGAGGTCGTACTACCCATGTATAATGTGCATTCTTATTTTTCCCTCAAAAATTTGGCAAAAATAGTGCACATTATGCACAGCAAAATATAGTACTTTTTTAATATTTATTTTTTGATGATGCTGTTACAGTTTGTCCCAATTTCTCCCCCTTTGCACCCCTCCAACCAGCACCCCCCCACTCCCTCAGGCGGTCTCCACACCGTTGTTCATGTACATGGGTCACGTATGTTCTTTGGCTACTCCATTTCCTATGCTGTACTTTAGACCCCTGTGGTTATTCTGTAACTTCTGTAACTACCTATTTGTACTTCTTAATCCTTCTTCATGGTTGTCAGACTTCCATTCAACTCGGTTTCTGACAGTTCTGAGTGATGACTGTTCTATAATTTAGTCGTAATTTTGATGTGGTCATGTGAGGAGGCTAGCCGTGTTTACCTGTGCCTCCATCTTGTCTGGAAGTCAACACATGCTTCTTAATTCAATTAGAAATGTCTACCCTATACTATTTGTTTTCAGTTTTGTGATTGTGTTAACACTGCTTTCTAGTAAAACACCATTCCTACTCCAGAGGTAAATGGTAGTGTGGGACTAGTGATATCAAATGCTTTGATTTACCTCTTATATCCTATCTATTTAGTTGTATATGAATGTCAACAATATCATTTTATGTTTCAAATATATTCTTTAACAGTATAATTAACTAGAAATATAGATGTTTTCTAATGAACATCTTTAAAAAAACTTTTTATTGGCTCTACGCATGTATTTTGAAATGTTTTTAAAATTATAATGACATTTTCAAAATCTCAAATATTGATGACATTTTTTTCCTTTGTTTTTGCTTTGTTGTCTTTGGGGGTACATAGTTAGGCAGGGGATTTAATTTGTGTTAGCTGGGTTCATGTACTGTTAACAGACTTCACACAGAGAATAACTAATCATTATTGATATTGTTCCCTCCCAGTGGAATATGCCTAATGCCACAGATCTGGAGTCAATCCCAGCCATCTCAAGTTGCTCCTCCATTAAGCCATTTTCGCCCTCTGATCTCTCAATGCCCTGTCTTTTTTTCACAGCTCTTATGACTTGTTGCTTTCTACTTTATTGTTATATTTTATACCTTTTCTGTAAGCAGTTTAAGAGTCTAATGAAACTTAATATTCTCATAGTGCTTAACATAATTCCTGGTATATAATCAATGTTATGAGTGTTTTTCTTGCTTAATCAAAAAAGTTTACATACAGGAAAATTTTTTCCATATTTCAGTTAGCCAACATTTTGTCTTCATGTTCTATGAAAGTATTAATGAGATAATTGATTCATCCTCTCTGCTTAGCCCCAAAAGGAAGTGAAGTGGTAGATGCACTGCTTGGTGATACTCTAGCCCCGCTTCACATCAGTGGCAGAAGTGCATTGTAGCAGTTCTTGACCAGTGACCACAGCTTCAGTGTTTTCCAGAAGGTCTCTAGCCATGAAACATACCAACAGTCCACCCACATACAAGTAGTTGCCATCCACATCCACTTTAGGAAAGGACCAAAGGAAAACTTGTCACTGAAATCCTGTTTAAAGTACTCACAGAATAGACATTCACGACTGAAACATTTACGGTTTTTTTTAAACAGTGTGCCAGTTGTAAAGTGATGGCATAAACAGTTTGCTCAAAGGAATTCAGCTTTATGTGTCACCATAGTGTCAGGAGGACCCTGTCCTTTCTAGTACATTATCTGGAACCGCCTCATCTGTAAATTGGGAAGTGCAATAATTTTTATTTAATTTAACTTTTTATTTTTCAATGGCAGTTGACATTCAGTATTACTCTGTATTAGTTTTAGTGTACAGCAGAGTGACTAGAAAATCATGTACTTTACAGAGTAGTACCGCTGCTGCTTCAGGTGCCCACCTGACCCATGCACAGTTATCACAGTACCATTGACTGCATTCCCTGTGCCGTAGGATGCATCTCTGTGACGGTTCTGTAATGGCCAATGCACGCTGTTCTGTGCCTTCACCGTTTTCACCCAGCCCCCAGACCCCCTGCCTTCTGACAACTGTCAGTCTGTTCTCTGTGTCTGTGAGTCTGTTTCTACTTTGTGTATTTTATTCATTAGATTCTACATATAAGTAAAATCATGTTATTGTCTTTCTCTGTCTGACTTATTTCACTTAGCATAAAATACCCTCTAAGTTCATTTGTGCTATCACAAAGGTAACATTTCATTCTTTTTAATGGCTTAGTAATAATATTCAATTGTGTGTGTGTGTGTGTGTGTGTGTGTGTGTGTGTGTGTATAATCACTCATCTATTGATGGGCACTTGGGTTGCACCCATATCTTGGCTATTATAAATAATGCCTCAGTGAACATAGGAGTGCCTATATTCTTTCAAATTATTGTTTCAGGTTTCTTCAGGTATATTTCCAGAAGTGGAATCTGAGTCATAAAGCAGTTTCATTTATAATTTTTAGAGGAACCTTCATTCTGTTTTCCACAGTGGCTGCACAGTCTGTGTTCCCCCGAACAGTACACCAGGGTTCCTTTTCTCCACAACCTCACCAGCACTTGTTGTTTGTTAGTTTATTGGTGAGAGCCATTCTGGTAGATGTGGGGTGGTGTCTCATTGTGGTTTTGATTTGCATTTCTCTGACAATTAATGACATTTGAGCCTCCTCTCATATGTCTATTGCCCATCTGTATGTCTTCCTTGGAGAAGTGTTTATTCAGGTCTTCTGTCACTTTTTAAATAGGTTGTTTGTTTTTCTGGAATTAAATTGTCTGAGTTCTTTTAAATTTTGTATATTAACCTTTTGTCAGATGTATCATTTGCAAATATATGTTCTCCCATTCAGTTGTCTTTTGGTTTTGTGGATGGTTTCCTTTGCTGGGCAAAACTTTTTTCAGTTTGATGTAATACCAGTTGTTAATTTTTCTTCCATTTTCCTTGCCCATGGAGAAATACCAGAAAAAATGTCGCCACAAGAAATATGGGGGATTTTACTGCCTGTGTTTTTTAGGAATGTTATGGTTTCTAGTCTTACAATGAAGTCTTTGATCCATTTTGAGTTTATTTTTGTATATGGTATAGGAAGGTAGTCTATTTTTTTTAATGAATCCAATTTTCCCAACACCCATTTATTCAGCAGTCTTTATCCCACTACATATTGTTGCCTCCTTTGTCAAATATTAATTGACCATGCAGGTGTGGGTATATTTCTGGGCTCTCTATTTGGTTTCACTGATCTATATGTATGTTTTTATGCCAGTACTGTGCTGTTTTGATTACTGTGGCACTGTAGCATAGTTTGATATCAGTTGCGTAATACATCCAACATTGTTCTTCTTTCTCAAGATTGCTGAAGCTATCTGGGGTCTTTTGTGATTCCACATAAATTTTAAAATGATTTGTTCAGCAATAGTTCTGTGAAAAATGCATTTGGTATTTTATTAGGGATTGCACTAAATCTGTAGATTGCTTTGGGTAGCAGATACAGTTTAATGATGTTAATTCTTTTTATTCATAAACATGATATATGCTTCCACTTATTTGTATCTTCTTCAGTTTCTTAAGTATCTTAAAATTTTCCACTGGTCTTTTACCTCCTTGGTTAAATTTATTCCTAGGTATCTTTCTTTTGTTATTGCAACTATAAATGAGATTGTTTCTTATTTCTCTTTCTGATAGTTCATCATTAGTATATAAAAATGCAATCAATTTCTGAATAATAATTTTATATCCTACTTTACTGACTTCATTTATCACTTCTAGTAGTCTTTTAGTGAAATTGTTAGGGTTCTCCTCTGTATATAGTATCATGTCATCTGCAAATAATGAAGTTTAAAGGGTTTTCTTTTTAATGTATAGTGTAACATACAAAACTGCCATTATCTATATGGCTTACTTCATCTAAAGTATTCTTAAAAGTTCTAAGTAATCATCGTCCTGTGTGCTGTTATCCTCAACAATCTTACCCACTTAAAGCCACTCATTTTACTCCAATAGGATGGTGTGTTTGGTTTCTTTGACAACTGTTTGGTGAGAAACTTACATTGTATGGATGTGTGGTTCTGTTTTCTCTGGAGGTTTTGTGTGTGAGTAAATATGTTTTGAAATGCTATTTTTTGGGACTTCCACCAAGATGGAGGCGTAGGTGGAAGCACTGCGCCTTCTCACACAACCAAGTTTAAAAACAACAAAGTTTTAGCAACAAAAACGCAGCCAGAAAATTGAACTACACGGAAGTCTGACAACAACGAACCCTTCAGCCAAACTGGTAAGAGGGGCAGAGCCAGCAGCAGAGTGGGGTTGGGCAGGAAAGATCCACCAGACCTACTGGGGCGCACAACCCAGGCATGCTGGCAGCTGTAGGCAGATCCCAGGTGTGGAGAAACAGGCGGACCCACTGAGGGCAAAAGGCGGTGGACTCACTGAGGGCTGACCAAAGTCACACAGTTGAGCATAGATAAACTGGTGAAGGAGTGAAGCAGTGAGACAGACCAACCATGCAGGCCCCAGTGGCAGAAAGTGGCAGAGGGGACCACCATTGTCCCTCTCTGACCCTGCCCCCACATACAGCATCACAAACCAGCAACCTGGGTGGCCCTGGCCTTGTGAACACCTCCTCGTACATAACAGGCACGAACAGATCAAAACATGGCTCAAGAACAACTCAGAGCCCCAGAACCAATAAATCTAAGCAACCAAGAAATAGCCAAACTTTCGGATGCACAGTTCAAAACACTGGTGATCAGGATGCTCACAGAACTGGTTGATTTTAGTCACAAATTAGAGGAACTTATGAAGGCTAAACTAATTGAAATGAAGGGAAATGCACAGGAAACCAATAGTAATGGAAAGGAAACTGGGACTCAAATCAAAGGAGTGGACCAGAAAGAGGAAAAAAAATGACCAAACAGAAAAGGATGAAGAGACAAGAATTCAAAAAAAGGAGTAGAGGCTTAGGAACCTCCAGGACATCTTTAAATGTTCCAACATCCAAATTATAGGGGTACCAGAAGGGGAAGAGGAACACCCACGAGTAGAAAACTTATTTGAACAAATAATAAAGGAGAATTTCCCCAATCTGGCAAAGGCAATAGACTTCCAGGAAATCCAGGAAGCTCAGAGAGTCCCAAAGAAGTTGGACCCAAGAAGGAACACACCAAGGCACATCATCATTACATTAGCCAAGATTAAAATGAAAGAGAGAATTCTAGAAGCAGCAAGAGATAAGGGGACACTCACCTACAAAGGAGTTCCCATCAGACTGTCAGCTGATTTCTCAAAAGAGACCTTACAGGCAAGAAGGGGCTGGAGAGAGGTATTCCAAGTCATGAAATCTAAAGACCTACATCCAAGATTACTCTATCCAGCAAAGCTTTCATTTAGAATGGAAGGGCAGATAAAGTGCTTCTCAAATAAGATCAAATTCAAGGAGTTCATCATCACCAAGCCCTTATTATATGAAATGTTAAAGGGACTTACCTAACAAAAAGAAGATAAAAAAGATGAACAGTGAAAGGACAGCAAACTCACAGTTACTAAGAACCACACCTAAAACAAAAGCAAAGTAAGAGGACAGCCAGATCAGGAGCAGAACCATAGAAATGAAGATCACATGGAGGGTTAGCAACAGGGGAGTGGGAGGAGGAGAGGGGGGAGAAGGTACAGAAAATAAGTAGCATAGATGGTAAGTAGAAAATAGGGGGAGGGCAAGAATAGTAGGGGAAATATAGAATCTAAAGAACTTGAGACACGTGGTCATAAACTAAAGGGGGGGAATGGTGGGGGAGGGGGGTGCAGGGTGGAGGGAAATGAAGGGGGGACTAGAACTGTAATGACATAATCAATAAAATATATTTTTTAAATGTTATTTTTAAAAAGATTTTATTTATTCATTTTTAGAGAGAGGGGAAGGGAGGGAGAAAGAGAGGGAGAGAATCATTAGTGTATGAGAGATACATTGATCAGATACCTCTCACATGCTCCCAGCTGGGGACCTGGCCTGCAACCCAGGCCTATGCCCTGACTGGGAATCCAACTGGCAACCTTTCAGTTTGCAGGCCAGCACTCAAACCACTGAGCCACACCAGCCAGGGCTGAAATGCTATTTTTAAAGCATCTGTGGGTTTTAAGTTTTTTTCAATGTTGTTATATTACTCTTTTAATTTAAGAAAAATGTTGCAACAGGGAGGTAGTGTAGGAGTCAAGGTAGGCCCTCATAACACTTAGTATGGAATTCTCTCTGTAGTTATTTTTGATTAACCATATTTGATGTACACTTTAATACATACTTTGAATTAAGATTTCTTAAAAAGGTAAGAACTGTTAGTCTCTTCACAAGTCAAATTTAGTGTCTAAAAAGATTTTATTATATTTAGTGTTCCCTTTCTACAGTTATTAAACCATTAAAATACCTTTGTTATTGGAACTGTCATTCTACCATGAGTGTTAGAAATGCAGAGGTGAAATTAAAACTCAGCATAGAAAATAACCAGTAGTATGGGAAAAATAGATTTGTTGTCTTTCAAGAAGTATCTGGTAAAAATGTTTCTGCTTCTTTTTATGAGCATGAAGCAAATGAAATGAAAGAGGGCTAGGTATGAAAATGAGATACCAAGTTATACGCATTTTTTGTTGTCCTAATGATTGGCATTGGCTTTTCAAGTAATGTGTTTTGATAACTAAATATTGAAAGTTAGAAAAGTAAAAACAAAAACGGTATTATTTTCAGCATTCCTGAGAATTACACTTATGAAAAGCAAATTGATGTTTTTAACCATGTATCGTAACATGGTTTTGAACTGATCTAACGTTTAACTCAGGGCTTTTATATCACTCTTCCTTGGAACATTTGCGGGGCTCGGTGTTGTGTCTCAGCCTGTTTTGTCGTGGAACCTACACATTACTTTTTAAAGGAGAAGCATCATCTTGAGAATTTTTCATTTTGGTTTTTGGGATTCCACAATTATGTCACGTTTGTAAGAAAGTAGAACTTCAAGCAGACTATTTTGACTTTATTTTTAACCACAAGAAACCTCATGGTCTCCCTTAATTAAAAATAAGTCAGATATTTTCAGCTTTCTGAGTTATAATTGACAAGTAAAGTAGTAAGATATTTAAACTATACTTTGTGGTAAATTCATGTATGTATACATTGTGAGGTGATTTCTCCCATGTATAGTTAATTGACATATCACCTCACATATTTATATATATATTTTTTGATGAAACATTTAGGTTCTGCTCTGCCAAATTTTAAATTATATAATACCGAGTTATCAACTATAATTACCATCTATACATTAGATCCTCAGACCTTATTTTCTTTATAGGTGAAAATTGTACCGTTTTACCAAAGTGTAACTATTTTTCTCATTCCTATCCCTGAGAATCTGTTTTCTACTCTGTTTCTATGAGATGATTTTTTTAATTTAGACATCCTGTATAAGTGATACCATGCAATATTCACCCCAGTCTGACTCCTTTCACTCAGCATAATGTCCTCAGGGTCTAGCTCTTTGGTCATAAATAAAAGAATTTCCTTCTTTGTCGTGGCTGAAGAATATTCCATTGTATATACATACCACATCTTTATCCATTCATGTGTTGAGGGACACTTAGGTTGTTTTCATATATTGGCTATTGTGAATAAGCTGGCTTTTGTAATCTGATTTTTATCTTAACCAAGTATATCTTAGAGATGTACAGAGCATGCCCAAATGAAATTTGACTTTATCTGTTTGATAATAAGGTATATATTTCTCTAAAAATTTAATCTACATAAAATTTCAACTTTCATAGCAACTAGAAACACCAGCATTTTTAGTTGCTTTTCTTAACTTGTGTTCCTAGGGGTGTGTAGATGTGTAACCTTTTCTACACTCAGCACATTTTTTAGAATTAATACATCTTTTGTAATCTGACTTTTTATGTCATTTTAAAAACAGTTTTACTTAATAAACTTAAAACTCCTCTTTTGGGATGTAAAGTTCATTTATAGTTATAGTTTTATAAAAACATCTTTAGAGACTAGATAACTTGGTTTTTGGCTTTGTTTTGTTTTTTAATTCCTGCAGCTGTTTTCAAGTTTGATATTTTACTTTAGGTCATATTGATGCATTTACTTCAAAGCTTTTCCTGCTAGAAGAAATTACCTCAGAAGAATTAAAAGAAAAAGTTTCGGCACTCAAGTAAGAAGGTTTATTTTCTGCTGTCATACAAGCCAGTACTTGATGATTTTGAAGGAAGCTCAGGAAATGGCAAAAATTAAATGAATATTATAATTTTATCAGATTAGGGATACATTTTGGTGTTCTGCGTTTTAGACTGTCTCACCTGTTGTGGTTGTGGTTGCGGAGGGCACTTCTCTTCCTGTAGAACGGTAACCGTAAAGGAAGGGGTCTTTTGTTTAATTTTACATAAATGTCTTCTGTTTTATAGGATTTCAAGTTTATTTAATATCCTCCAACACATTCTAAAGAAATTAAGTAGGTAAGTATTTTTTGATAGTTTCATTGATATTTTTTATTTTCTTTGATGAAATTCGTAGAAACTTTGAATATATGCTGTTAGGAATAGATAGAATATTACCTAGAAATGTAAGATGTATTTTCCTTTGTCAGAGTTGAAATTATGAAAATAAACTAAAAAAATAATATTATTTACACACTTTTCTATGAGGCGAATTGTCATGGTTTCCTGTTGCCACTGTAACAGATCACCACAGACTTAGTGGAAAACAACACAGATGTATTCTCTTACAGTTCCGCAGTCAGAAATCTGAAACGAGTTTTCACTGGACTAAAATCACGTCCGCAGGGCTCCCTCTGGAGCCTCTGAGCTGTCAGTCATCTCCCCGCCTTCATTTTCAGTGTCTAGTGGCTCCCTTGACTCGTGTCTCCTTCTTCTGTCTTGAAAGTGCACCACTCAGATTCCTGCTTCTGTGTAGCGTTGCGTCCATACACACTTGCAAAGCCATGAAAAGTAACATTAACAGTCCTGGCAATTCAGATGGGGACATCCTGGGTGACCGTTACCGCCCACCATAGCTATATTGTTCACATTTTCAGAGTAAGGAAGCGTCATGGAACTAATGATCAAAAACCATTAGGTCCACAGCAAATCTTAGATATGGATTCTCCACCCGATCATTTATCAAACCAATATGTGAACTTCTTATATGAACTTTAATGTTTCTTCTGTTGCGCCTTTACCGAAACAAACTAAAAAACAATTCAAAAGTCTGGTCAAAAAATCACAAAATTTTAATTCTATTTTTTATGCAACTGTATATAAGTTTTTGTATTTATAAAATGATGGTGTTGAATTCAGTAATTTCCTAGGTACCTTTCCGGTCTGAGATTCTGTGATTCTGTGGTAGGATTTTTATTTTCTATATTCTGTTCCTCATGTAAAACACCATGCTCATACATGAAATTTTCCAAATGCTTTTTGAAATTTTATTATCACTATCTTAGTTTGTGTATTACTTTTCTACTGCAGCTGTAACAAATTACCACAAAATTAGTGTTGTAGAAAAACAAAAATGTATTACCTTGCAGTTCTGTAAGTCAGAAGTCTAACAAGTCTCCCTGGACTAAAATCAAGGTCCAGGGCAGCCTTCTTTTCTTTAAGGCTCTGACTATGGTCCATTTCCTTGACTTTTGTATATTTTAGAGGCCATGTACATTCTTTGGCTCATGCCTCTCTTCCTCGGTCTTCAAAGTTTCGAAGGCTTGTCCTGGCCAGGTGGGCCATTTGGCTGGATTGTCATCCTGTACATCAAAAGCTTGCAGGTTCCAGTCACGGTCAGGACAGATAACCTAAGTTGGGGTTTAATACTCGGTCAGGGCACATACAGGGAGCAACTGACAGGTGTTTTCTCTTTCTCTGTCTCTCTCCTCCCACCTCCTTGCTAGCTCTCTAAAATCAGTAAACGTATCCTCAGGTGAGGATTAAAATTTTTTAAATTTGTTTTGAACAGTTTCAAAGGCAAGTGGAGTCCTCCTATCACATCATTTTTGACCTTTTCCACAGTTACATCTCTGAGTCTCCCCTGCCTCCCTTTTGTACATGTAAGGACTCTTATGATTACAGTGAGCCCACTGAGATAATCCAGGAAAATCTTACTGTTTTAAAACCAGGTGGTTAGGAACCCGAATTCCATTTTAATTCCATAATGTAACATCCACAGATTCCAGGGTTTAGGACATCGGTGCTTTAGTGAGGCCATTTATTCACCATGTACATTGCACTTTGTGGCACTTTTAAGATATTTTTCAGGGCGTCTATCTTGTTCTTTCTGAATTCTCTCTGCTGACCGAAGCCATCTTTATTTTGGGGAAAGTTAGTTAAGCTATATGATTTTTGTTGACGAAAGATCAATTTTTAAAATGTTATTTATTCCTACTACCAAATCCACTGTGCATTTCCTTATATGAAAATATGAACGTGATTGTTTGGAAAAGAAATTCTCCAGAGAGTAAGAATAATTTTCTGTACCTCCTTTGTCCACACCTATTACTTTTCTACTTAAAAGAAATTAATGAGAAAGCCCAGGCCAGTGTGGTTCAGTTGGTTGGAGTGTTGTGTCATAACCAAAAGGTTGTGGGTTCAGTTCTCAGTCAGGGCACATACCTGTTGCGAGTTTGATCCCCCACCAGGGCTCATATGATCCCTCATCTTGGCATGTTCGATTTCTGGTCTGGGTGTGCCCAGGAGGCAGCCAGTTGGTGCTTCTGTCTCTCATTGATGTTTCTGTCCCTTCCTCCCTCTCTAAAAAGCAATGAAAAAATGTGTTTGAAAAAAAAATAATGAAAGTGTATGTAGGCAGATTTGTAGACAGATCCCTATAACTAAAGCATGATTAATTCCTATTTTTAAAGATATGTCATGGGAAAGAACTGATGCTCTCCTTAGCACCTTTGAGCTAGGAGTATAAAATCTTTAAAAAAAATTTTTAATGTATTTTATTATGCTATTATAGTTGTCCCATTTCCCCTTCTTTATTCCCCTCCACCCTGCACACCCCCTCCACCACCATTCCCCCCTTTTAGCTTATGTCCATGTGTCACAAGTTCTTTAGATTCTATATTTCCCCTACTATTCTTGCCCTCCCCTTGTCTATTTTCTACCTACCACCTATGCTACTTATTCTCTGTACCTTCCCCCCCTTCTCCTCCTCCCACTCCCCAGTTGCTAACCCTCCATGTGATCTCCATTTCTGTGGTTCTGTTCCTGTTCTAGTAGTTTCCTTAGTTTGTTTTTTTTTAGGTGTGGTTGTTAATAATTGTGAGTTTGCTGTCATTTTACTATACTATACATTTACTTTACATTTACTATACATTTACTTTACATTTACTATACATTTACTTTACATTTACTATACATTTACTTTACTATACATTTTACTATACATGTTTTTTTATCTTTTTCTTAGATAAGTCCCTTTAACATTTCATATGGTAAGGGCTTGGTGATGATGAACTCCTTTAACTTGACCTTATCTGGGAAGCACTTTATCTGTCCTTCCATTCTAAATGAAAGCTTTGCTGGATAAAGCAATCTTGGATGTAGGTCCTTGTCTTTCATGACCTGGAATACTTCTTTCCAGCCCCTTCTTTCCTGCAAGGTCTCTTTTGAGAAATCAGCTGACAGTCTGATGGGCACTCCTTTGTAGGTGACTGTCCCCTTATCTCTTGCTGCTTCTAGGATTATCTCATTCATTTTAATCTTGGCTAATGTAATTATGATGTGCCTTGTTATGTTCCTCCTTGGATCCAACTTCTTTGGGACTCTCTGAGCTTCCTGGATTTCCTAGAAGTCTATTGCCTTTGCAAGATTGGGGAAGTTCTCCTTTATTATTTGTTCAAATAAGGTTTCCACTCGTGACTGTTCCTCTTCCCCTTCTGGTACCCCTATAATTCAGATGTTGGGACGTTTAAAGATGTCCTGAAGGTTCCTAAGGCTCTCCTCATTTTTTTGAGTTCTTGTTTCTTCATTCTTTTCTGTTTGGTTGTTTCTTTCTTCCTTCAGGTCTACTCCATTGATTTGAGTCCCAGTTTTCTTCCCATCACTATTGGTTCCTTGTGCATTTGCCTTCATTTCACTTAGTGTAGCTTTCATTTGTTCATCTAATTTGTGACCAAAATCAACCAGTTCTGTGAGCATCCTGATCACCAGTGCTTTGAACTGTGCATCTGATAGGTTGACTATCTCTTTGTCCCTTAATTGTATTATTTCTGGAGCTTTGCTCTATTCTTTTGTTTTGGCCATTTTTTTTTTTTGTCTTGTCACACCTGTTACTTAGTAAGGGGCAGAGCCTTAGGTGTTCACCAGAGCAGGGTAACCCATGTTGCTGGGTTGTGACCCTGTACGTGGGGGTGGGGTTTGAGAGGGTACAGTGGTGCTTGCTCCGCTCTCTGTTGGACCTCAGTCCCTTCCACCACTTCCCCCAGGCAAACTGGGCCTTTCTGGTGCTGGTTCCTGGGTTGGTGGGCTTGTGTGCATTCTAGGACCTTGTGGGTCTTTCCAACGAACTCTCCTATGAGGCTGGGAGTCTCTCCCGGTGCCTCATTCCCCACAGGTGTTTTCAATCAGTATTTTGAGGCTTTATTTCCTAGCGCTGGGACCCTGGGTTGCATGGTCTGTCTCGCTCCCCAGTTATCTGTGCATGAAGGTGGAATCGCCGCTAGTCAGCCAGACGCCGTGCATGTGGTACCCTGCTTCACAATTGCCGCCTCGCTGGGTCTACCCATTGCCACCCCATGCCCAGGGTCTGCCAGCCACCACCTGCACACCCAGGGTGCCTTGTGCGCCTGGTGTTACCACTTCCTGTGCTGTGACCCCTCTCTGCTGGGCTGGATCAGCATGTGTCTATTTCAGCTCCTTGGCTGTCCAACTTCCATACAGTTCTATTTTCTGTCATTTCTGGTTGTTATTTTGTTTCTAAATTTTTGTAGTTCTTATTTTGGTTGTGTGAGGAGGCACAGTGCATCTACCTATGCCTCCATCTTGGCCAGAAGTTTGGAGTATAAAATCTTAAGAAAATACAGTATATTAACCATATTCTTTTAGCTCTTTATGTTGATACACTTAATTCCTTAAAAGTTTTCTAAGGAAAATGTATATTTGATATTTGACAGAACTGATTATTGTGACAGAGAGGATCATGATTAAGGGTATGGCCTATGGAGTTCATCTAATTTTATATGTAAGCCTTGCACTCAGGTCTTTGGTCATATTGCTTATCATCTCTAACTTCTGTTTACCTCTAATATGGGCTTAATAATTAATATTATGCGCCAAAGGTTTGTTGTGGAGATTTAATAATAAAATAGGTATAAGCAGTACAGTAGTTTACTCACAATGAACATTCAATATCTGTCAACTGGTATCGCATTATATTGTGATCCATTGACTGTTTCTGCTACTTTCAAAGTACTCAGTGTAGTGAATGTGTCACATGCACTGTTTTATGTCTCTTTACCTACTACTAGATACAAAGTAGATGCAGTGTTTGTTGAATGGATTCAAATGTTCTGTATAAGAATGACATGAATGTACAGTCATGAAATGCTTTTCAGTATAAGTGTATGTCATCTATGATTAGACAATTAGGTAGACCATTTGTTTCCCATTAAATAATTAAAAACTTACAAATTTGCTGATATGACAGTAAAAATAAAATAATCATATATCCTGAACTTTGAATAAGAATTAAAATTAGTTGCCTAAAAGACGTGAAAACAGTTTAAAAGACTTCTTGAATCTAATTTGGTATAAATTATTTTTAGAGGCGGTATCCTATTCCCATACTGTCTTTGATTTTACTTATAGTCCATGATTAAGAAAATGCTGTTAAAATTGACACATTGAGTTGAGTTTCTTTGTGTGGATTTAGCTTGCAGGAGGGTTCCTACTTGTTGTCTCATGCAGCAGAAGACTCTTCACTCCTGATCTACAAGACCTCGGATGGAAAAGTCACGAGGACAACATACAATTTACATAAAACGCATTGCAGCCTCCCTGGTGTCCCTTCCAGTCTCTCAGTGCCCTGGGTTCCGTTAGACCCCAGTCTGTTGTTACCATACCACATCCATCACGGAAGGATACCTTGTACTTTCCCACCTAAGTCCCTGGGTCCCGCAGCACAACAGAAGGTAAGACCTTTTTTTAAAATGAAGTGTTCCATTGGGTTCTTTATTATTAATCTATTTCACTGGCTATATACTATTTCAACTTGAGGTCCCCATTTGCCGTATCAATCATAACATCTTTGTAAAAGCTATATCCATGGAAAGGATAGGTAAAGTTGTATGCTCGCCTGAGTTTAGTTGCTATGTCAGTAAAACTTTCTGTTTTTTGTAAGCTTTTTAAGTCAACTGAAGAAAGTTCTTCTAGTTTGTCCAGGAGGGGCATGGGTGAAGCATCCATATGGTTAAGTCCTCTGTTCCTATGAAAAGCAAAGTTATGTTTATGGTAATTTTTTATGATAATGCTCTATTTCATTAAATATTTGAGGCAATTTACAGTAGAATACATACAATAAAATTATGATACAATTAAAAATTGATAAGTAGGATATAGGAAAATATAAAAACTAGAGTTAGTGATTAGGGAATGCAGTGCTTATTAAAAGTACAATAAAATGTTAAAGACTATATTGCGTTTTGCTAAGTATTATGTAACTCAGTGTTTATTCAGTTATAATAAATGTTAGTCTCTTTATAGAACCCTTCCCAGCAATACTGGCTGGACGTTTTTCCTGTCTGAAACTTCCTGTAAGGCCGTGACTAAGAAACACCCTTCATCATGACACTCTTCCTTTATATCATGAGAGAAATTCCAAATTGAGTTCAGCTGTAGTAAAAGTTGTGTTCCCTACAAATCGGAATCTGAGTGTTCAGGAAACAAGAAAACAATGTATTTTCCTTCCCTGCTGCCAAAAATCTTCAAGTCAGAATCACTGTCTAAGTTCCATGTGCATCCAGAACATGTGTCACGGTGGCCTGTGTGGCTGTTTCTCCGCCCTTTTTTTCTTTCATCCTGAGCAAATGTAACTCCAGTCCTGGGAGAAACAGCTGGAGTGCAGATGCAGAAGTTTTTTAAGTAGTTTAGTGAATGGGTTTTTTAAAATATGTTTTTCAGTTTTTTAACATTACTCTTTGGGAGGATCCTGTTAGAAATGAGAACTCCTCGCACATTCTTAGTTGACTTTGTGTAAGAAAATATGTAAATGTTATTAACTAGTTGCTATGAATGAAAGAATGGAGAAAGTTCTTAGCATTTTAAACCATTTTATCTAATGTTTTGGTTGCCTATTTCCAGTTTACATTTAATATAAGTTTTGATTTTTATAACCTCCTAAGGCACAGTTTTCTTAACTAATCTAAAAATAATAATTGAAGACTCTTTTTTAAGTATTTATGTTCATTCTAGAATAATGAATTCCTTTTAATTTAGAAACTCTGACTATGGTTTCTCACCTAGAACATAATTCTCTATGGAGTGGCTTACTCTTTAGTGAGAGTCAGCAGTTTAATACCTTGACACAATTCCGTATATGTAGGATTTGGCCATGTCAGTACAAAGTTAAACAATTCAGTGATATATATTCTACTGAGCACTTCACTCATTTGTGTTTTTTAAGATGCTTCATGCACTCAGGGACCAATACTTAGATTGTTCAGGACCTAGTTGTCATACAGCCTAGCATTAAGTACAGTAGAAATTAGATAACTAATCCTTGGTTTGATATTTTCTCCAACCCCATGGAAAGTTGTTGGTGGTCTCTGACATACTGCCCTACAATCTTGCCCTACATTTGGTGGGAATTACTCCACCTTCCTCCCTATTTCCTCCTAGTTAGGCCATAGGAATGGGACTTTTTAGTCCAACCAAGATAAGCAGAGATAGGGATTCTAGCCTGAGCAGCTATAGGAGAAGACCAAAGCTTCAGGAAGCTTGGGAAAGTAAAGCACTATGTGCAACAGAAATCATCTACATATTTCATGCTATAAAAACTCATGGCACCAATGTATCTGCCTCTCATGTGATCCTTTAGTCTCTAGTCCACTTGAATTGGCATCTTACCTTCGTGTAGTGCCTTGGGCACCGGCACCTGAGAGTGCCCCAGTACCGGCTGCCTCTGCCGCCTTCGTAGAACGAAGCTTAGGAGCGGGATCCCGTTTGCTTTCTGTGCTTATCCCCGCTTCAGTTTCCAGTCCTGCAGTGGCTCTGTGCCCATCCCTTTTCTCCTTCAACATTTCTGTGGTAAACATTCATTACACACACAGTCTTATGGTGGACATTTGGGAATGCTCACTTTGCTCAGTGATACAGTAGATACAGTTAGTGTGGTCGGTGTACTTTTATAGTGAATGCCAGCTGCGTGGGGAGTGGCCCAGGTCATCTAAAAACCACAGCACTTTTCTAACCAGTATGTTACAAAAGTGATCGCATTCAGACAGTCAGACTCAAATCCCAACTCAAGTGTGTCCTTTCTAGTCACCTAATGGTAAACCCAAAAAATGCCCCTAAAGGGACAAGACGTTAAGTGAGAGCAGCTGGGGTCTGATTCATTCTCAGTAAGCCAGTATTCCTTTAGAGCAGTGCTAGTAATTCGTTGTATTAGGAATAGGAGAGAGAGTGCTTGGAGGCGCAGCAACACCCATCAGTCCAAGGTCTAGAGTTCACTGGACAAGATGTGGTGGGTACGGGGGGCCTAGGAAAAGTAGAGGCAGATACGGACAGCTTCCGGGCAAGTGGTATCAGGCTGCAAAGTTGTGGTCCTTCTCTGTGGGGCCCAGCTTTCTCCGTTTACCCATTTTTAAACTTTATGCTCTCTCAATGGCCAAGGTAATGACGCATTTCCAGATCTCATCTTCGGCGTGGCTCTAATCAGCAAGGGGTTGTATCTTAAGAATGTACCTCTCTTCCCTAGGCAGTGTAAGCTGGAAAGTGAGGATGACTAAACATTAAGGTAGAACCAGCACCCTGCCAAGTTTCTTCCCCCGATTCCCTTCTTCCTCTTTCTCATCCTCCGTAGTCTCCTTCCTACTTCTTTTTTCTTTTCTTTTCTCCTTCCCTCCCTCCCCCTCCCCCTCCCACCCCCTATCTCTCTCTTTATCTTCTCTCTCAGCTCTTTAGTTTTTCCCTCCTTACTTGGGCTCTTTTCCATTTCTTCCACATTTGTTCTTTTTCTCCTCCTTCTCTCTATACTCTTCTGTTTATCTTGCTCTTTCTCCACTTTGTAATTTCTCCCTCCTCTTTACCAGCTCTGACCTTCGTGAAATTCCTTTCCCTCCTGTCATAGTTTTCATTTCTTCCTCTCTCCTGCCCTTCAGCTTTGTTACTGCAGACACTTTGCTAAAAAGGCCTATGATTCCCTCATTTTCTAATTTAACATTTCAACCTCTTCCAAATTTAACAGAGCGGTTTCGCCTTAGTTTCTCTTCACTTACTTTCATCTGTCCCCTTTCCTGATTGTTACTTGAAAATTTGGTACTTTAAAACTGTGTCAAATTAAAGCTTATGTAGAAGCAGCCAGGTGGCTAGGGATTAAAAATATATAAAGGACCATTTACAAAGGAAGTAATGCATGTGGTAATAATACAGAGTTGACTGTATATAAATATGTTGTAAACATGTTAAACTATTTTCTCTTCTTTGCTTCATCTCTTAGATTAGTGCAACAAGAATGCCTACACACAGCCGCAGGAATCCAGTTTCCATGGAAACCCAAAGCCTGCCTGCTCAGCAAGTTGAAAATGAAGGAGTGGCTCCAAATAAAAGGAAAATAACTGAAGGACTCTGCCCTGGGAAGTGAGGGAGAGACGGTTATAACAATGTTCAGTTTGGAAAAGTTTGGGGGGAAATATGCCTAAAAGATCAGTAAACAGGATGAAATTTTTTTAGTGTCCTTGAGAGTTCTTAGAGTGCCTTGAAAAAAAGTATTGTCTGTGTGAAGGAACGTTTCAGCTAAAATGGGATATTAACCGTACTCTTAACTTCTGATGTTCGAGGAAAATCTAGGTATGTTTTAACATGATCATGGCAGGGAAATATGCAGAAAATAAAATTATTTTTATAGTAGAACATTTCCAAAAATTGTAAATAGGAAAATAATTTGCTTTTTTCCAAGAGCAATATTTATTGTTGTGTGTTATATTAATAACTTGAGTTATATTACCAATCTGTTGGGAATGGTTCAAAACACTAAATCTGGCCACTGTCGAAGATCACTTTGAGCAACATGTACACCTTGTTTCTGATTCGTTGTGACAGGGTTTTGTTGTCCTTGGGGCTTTTTGTTTATTTTTTGTTTTTAATCCTCACCTGAGGGTACGTTACGGATTTGAGAGAGAGAGGCAGGGATAGAGAGAAACATGGATGGGAAGCATCAATCCGTTGCGTCCTGTACAGTCCCAGCCAGGGAGTGAACCCCAGCCTTTTGGGGCACAACGTGATGCTCCAGCCAAGCGAGCCGCCTGTCCAGAGCTGACAGTTTTGGTTGTTACTGCTCTATTACAGTTGTCCCAGTTTTCCCTGGTTGTGATTGTTGCAGGTTAGTAAAGTTAATACCTTTAAAAACTTGGTGATATTCCCCTGCAGAAACTAAAATTTAAAATAAAAAGCTTCCTGCCTCTGAAAAGTTAACAAGCTACCAATTTTTTAAAGATCTTATTTTTTATTTTTAGAGAGAGGGGAAGGGAGGGAGAAAGAAGAAAGAGAAACATCAATGTGCGAGAGAAACATCAATGAATTGGTTGCCCCTCACACACCCCCAACTGGGGACCTGGCCAACAACCCAGGCATGTGCCCTGATTGGGAGTAAAACCAGCAACCCTTGGGTTCACAGGCTGGCACTCGGTCCACTGAGCCACACCAGCCAGGGCCAGGTTAACAGTGTTTTTGTTGGGCAATCATCTGTTAAAACAACTTTTATGTGTTCCAGAGTTGGTGACGAGTGCCTCTGTCTTTTGGCACAGATTCCACTTGACTACTGAAATATACTCCTGAAAGCAAAGAGATGATCATGTTTTCCAAAACACTCTTCTTATTTCAATTGATAAGGCTAATGTGTGGTAAAACATAAGCTATTTTTTCCTCATCTATACTGATGAATTTAAATTTTTTAGGACCACATCGATGAATTTGGGAAAAGTCATGATCAGCTGATGTTAATGTAGCTAACTTGGACTTAAGGAAGGAATGTACTTATTTAATTTTCTGTGTTCATGTTGTTTAATGTCTACTAAAGTTATTGGAAATATGTGGGTTCATTTGTAAATCCATGACAATATTAGCTTTGTTTTTGCAATTGTTATGTGTTTTATATTAATATAAGAAATTTACATTAATGTAAGAAATCCAGAATTTTCTAGAGTTCTAGAAATCTCCAACTGTTAAAGGTGATAGATGGGCATTTTTCTTAAACTACCAACTTTTGTTTAGTTTAGATTTCTTCTTAGTCATTTATAAAACACACTTAATAAATAACTATTAGTAAAGTTGTTTTATGCATTTTAATATATAATTTCCTCACATTCCCATCTCCTTTTTTAAACACTGAGCCTGCTTTAATGGACTGCTTCTGTTGGCTTTGTCCCGTACTCCCGTATCTCAGAAATCCTTCCCTTGTGAGTCATTTGGCAGTGAACCTAGGGAGAGTCAGGGATTCCCTTGGAATTTGCTCTTTTTAAAAACCTAGATAATGATTTCTTCAGACTTCTAAATACCAGGAAGTCTTGGCTTTTGCTTTTTTAATACTATTTTTTACTTAGTAAAGTACGTGATCTTACAAGTGATTATTTTGAAATTATTTTAGCCATACATTTGAGTAATGAACAATATATAAAGCTAGTCTTAGTTTTCCACTTGTGTTTAATTAAGCCTTTCATAAAACATATATTTGATCATGTCTTGTGTTCTTCTTCTTGATTTTTAGTTTTGAGTATGTGTAAGTAAAAAAGCGACATTGACAATATGAGCATTTTTTTCTTTTAGAAAAAGAATAAGACAGACTGGGTGTTAGTGTTAGCAAGGATATGATGGACCCGGCCCTCTTAGACCTCTAGGGTGAGGATGTAATTTACACATACCTCCTGGAGAATGGTTAATTCAGGAAAGTTTGGGTATATCTGTGTCTCACATAATCTAAAGCAGGTCCCCACTCATAACATTTTATTTTACTGTATATCACAGCACCTATTTGTTTGACTGACTGTCTGTCTTCTTGAATAGACTACATACTCTAAAAGGTCAGGGGCATATTTGTTTGGTTCACCATCATGGAACACACACCTAGCACAAGTGTCTGTCACATAGTTATTTAGTAGGTATAAGTTGGATGTATGAACAAATGAACAAGTAGATGCAAGGATAGATTCTTTTTTTCCCGGAAGCTCGAATTCTAGTGAAGGACACAGTACTGATCTGTGTAAGTAAATGCTCTGGTAAAGTAATAAGAAAACTGTTGAACCTTTCTTACTAGAAAATTAAGGCAGGTTTTTCTAATATGAAGGTTGAGCTGAGCCTTTTAAAAATGGGGAGTTAGAAGGGAAGAATAAAAGATCTTCCACACAAAAAGAAGGCAGCATATACAAAGGTTAAAGGTGGCCAGGTTGTAGGCTATGGACATGGGAGATGAGAGAAAAACACAGGACGGGGACAGACATGCCATCCTGTGACAAATTTGTCCTGTGCAAGGTGAGAACAGGTAGTGAATTTTAATAAAAGTAAATAACATGCCCTGGCTGGTGTAGCTCAGTGGATTGACCACGGGCCTGCAAACCACACGATTGCGGTTCGATTCCCAGCCAGGGCACATGCCTAGGTTGCAGGCCAGTTCCCAGCAGGGGACTCACGAGAGGCAACCATACATTGATATTTCTCTCCTTCTCTCGTTCCCTTCCCCTCTAAAGATAAATAAATAAAATCTTTTTTAAAAAAGTAAATAACATGATGAGATACGTGTTTGAAAAAGCTCTTGCTGCCATTAGTCCAAGGAGTGATCTGGAACTGGGAAGGACTGCAGGGAAGGAGAAGAGTTGGAAGGCTTTGTGGTAGTAACTGAAAACACGGTGACAGCCCCGAATGGATGCTGTAACCGTAGGGAAAAAAGGACAGGTCAGTGAGACAGTGGGTAGGGAGAGCCAAGCACGGCCTCATGGTTCTCATTTGCAGCGCTGGGTAAATGATGGTTTTAAACACTGAGAAGGTAAGAGAAGGGATGTAGAATGGGAAGAAATTCAATTAAAATGTCCATTTCCTTTCACAACTTCTATCCCTTGAATTTGGGGTTCAAATACTCTGTTATGTATAGCTGCCTATTAAATTACCCCAGAACTCAGCTAGTTAAAACAACCTATTATTTCTGAGTTTGTGTGTATCAGGAGTCCAGTTGCAGCTTAGGTGGGTGATAAGATCGCAGTCAAGCCATTGGCTGACACTGCAGTCATTTGAAGGGTTGACTGGGGCAGGAGCATCTGCTTCCAGGAAGGCTCACTCTTGATGGCTCACTCTTGGTGGTGGTGGGAGGTGTCAGCATCTCCCTGGTTAGTGACAGGAAGCTGCGTCCTCACTGCCTGTGCCTCTCCACAGTTCTGCTGGAGCAGCTGGACATACAGCTGGCTTGCCCCAGAGTGAGCAAGGAGAAAGCCACAGTATCTTACACCCTAATCTTCAAGAGAAGACTGATTGCATCCATACAGATTTGGGAATTGGTGTGTCTTTGATATTTGAAATCAGAAGAAGAACGACGTGTAGCAGAAATGAGTGGAATGACAAAAAGGCCATGAATGGAGCCCTAGGGAAAATTACAACCTCAGTAAAAGGAGACTTTTCATTCAAGTGGCCAGTATGGGAGTCAGATTTAGAAAACTTAGGAAATAAGTGCAAAGCGAGAGGTGGAAAGAATGCAATTCTTCATTGCCAATTGACCAGCAAAACTTGGAAATAATTTCACTATTTGGATCTTTTGCAATCACAAAGGGAACTGACCTATTTGTTCATTTCCATTTGTACTTGGATTCTGGGTTTGGACACTGCAGACTTTTTAGAGATAAAAGGAGGTGTGAGTGTAGGGTAGAGAGGGGAGAGAACACTTTTCTAATATTTTATTATCAACATAGTAAATCTGAAATTATTGATGGACATACAGATAAAGATATTAAGCTGCTTGTGGGCTATAGACACATGGTATTTTTTAAATCACATTAGAACATTTGATATCAAGATTTGTTGAGTTTCTCATTGAGATGTTGAAATAAAAGGGATGCATTTAATTGTGACTTCCAGTCTTGCCAAAGGAGTCATAATGTCCAGACTCCTTATGAATGTATGTAAGGGCAGGTACACAGGCATCGACCCAGGGTTTGGGTCTGGTCTGAGCAAAGCTTCTGGAAAGAGCTGAGCATCGAGGTGAATGTGTCTAGGGTGGGCCTCTAGATTGCCTCATCAAAAAGAAAGATTCTGCCAAGGGTTTGCCTTGGCATATGTGTTTGCTTTCAGTATATGAGCTACTGTTAGTAATCAAGCAAGGAGCTACAAAAGGGTTTTGTTTTTATTTTTAATTGCTGAATATGTGCGGTACAGCCTGATGAATTCTCTGAGATAATGGGGTGGGGAGTAGGTGTAAATTAAATGCCAATTTGAAAGTCAGGAAACAAAAATTCTGTGGTTAGTAAGTTGAATTTCTCCTTCCCTTTTCTTGAGAGTAAGCATTTCTTAGAGGGAAAAAGGAAATACTTCCTATACTTCCTATCCTGGGTTTTCCTTACCTCCCACCCCCCCCCAAAAAAAAAACAGCACAGGAGGGTATGTGCATGTTAATCCCAGGAGTTGCACTGCAGTGAGGCAATGCCATGCTGCTGAAGCTTTCAGGTCTCTTCCGAGCATTGCATTAATGCAGCATCTGCTTCAGCCAGACTTTGGCATCACGTGAATTAGCCATTCTTGCCGCTGCATGCACACTTTTGCACATAGAGCTACATCTGGTTGGATTTGTTTTCACCTGTCAAAACTTTGCTTGTCCTCTGTGGAACTAATAATGCATTTTTGAGCATCTGTAGGGTGTAATACATTATACCAATCTCTTGGGATTTCAAGATAAATATGATTGGTTTCTGCCTCATAAGGATTTCCTCATCTAGTTGGGGAGATACATGTACACAATCAGCTATAATACAGGGCAGAATATGGAAATGGCATGGTAGTGCACGAGAGTAGGAAAAAGGGATGCTTGCATAAAAAGAACTCATAGAAATAACTCTAAGCTGTGTTTGAAAAACAAGCAAAATATTTACAGACAAAAAGGGATCAACATGAGAGCATAAGGGGAAATTGTATGAAAAGTGCTGATTTTAGGAAATAGCAAATGTACTCATGTAATCAGTGTGGGAGCAAAGGACAACAAACAGGAGGGGAAGAGTTTAGAGCTTGAGAGTGGAAGGTATTAACTGTTACTCCCAGGTTGTTTGATTTCATTTTGAAAACAGGGCACATGCAAGGCTTTTAAACAAGATGGCATCAATTTTAGGAAATTTACAATATTAAAGGATTATTTAGAAAGGAGAAAGTCATAATAAGGAGATATTAACTATACAAATAGCAGGCAGATGGTAAAGATGTAAATTGGAAAGTCATTTAAAAGTTAGCAGCTATCAGAGTTAACTCTGCCCCCAAAATGAGTATCTGCCACATGTAACATCGAGTCTCAACTAGGTAACAGACAGTAGGTGTTGGGAATGCATTGAAGGTGTGGCACATGAAACAACGTGTATGTGGAATTAGGAACTGAGAGGTTTCAAAGACAGCTTTAGGCTGAGTGCTGCCGCTGGCGAATGGAAATTTCAGAGGAAGAATGTGGATGGGGTGAAAAGACAGCCGGCAGTGCTCCCAGCCAAAGGTCAGCAGTACGGTTAAGGCGATGTCCTATGTAACCTATAGACTGAAAACGGGGTCTGGGACTTAGTGGAGAAAAATTGATAGGTTGGGAGCCCATTCACCAGATAATTGGGGCTAACATGTTTGGGACCAAGCTGGCCTTTTGGGTTTTTTTTTCCTGTTCTTCCTCTCCCCCTCTGTTTGGGAGGGGCTGGGAGTTTGGTTACCTGTTTAATTGAGCAAATAAATATATTGAAAATAATGGGAAAGGGGAAGGCAAGAATAAACCCTGTGATGTTCGTTTGGAATTGGGAGTATCAGAATGAACTCAAGTGAACTCTTTCTCATGAACTATATACACAGAGAAAGAGTGAGAAACATAGTTCTATGTGTGTACACATGCACACGTATTTTCTAATTCTGCTGATCGGATCTAGAACAATGATGTTCTAGTAGCAATAGCTCACCTGGCACCCAGAGCTTGGCTCCTAAATCCCGTTCTCCACTAAAAGAAGTAAGGGCTCCTTGGAGAAATGACTAATTCTAAGATGGGGGCAGGGAAATTACGTCATCTTGTAACAAAATAACAAAGTACTCGAATAATGGTGGGTGAATGTCAAAAGGGTACAGGAGCTAGCTTAAATGAAAATTTGAGCATCAAATAATGATAGTGGTAGATTGGAATCCTTTGAGCAAAATAGTCATCCACAAGTCCACCTTGGTACCAGTGAATAAATAAAGAATGAAGAAAACATTCTATCCTACAGTAAAATTCCAACCTGTAAGTCGAGAGGGAATGAAGGAAAGAAAAATCACCAATTTGTAGCCATTATAAGTTAACTATTTAGCTAAGAATCATCAAAGATTCTAAATGGAGTGGGTGAAAATTTGATGGCAAATAGGAACATTTATGCAGTCTTAAAGAATCTCTCTACAAGATAGTTGCTAATGTATTAAGTATAACATAAGTTCACTTAACGCTGAAGAACCCTAGCAGAAACTACCTTAACCAAGT